TGGCGCCCCCCCTTTTCCACACTTGGGAAGGCTGTTCCTCCAACACTCTCCCAGGGAAGGGGGAAGGGCCGTTCCCAAGAGGCTAGAGGAAGACACTGGGTCACTGGCCCTGTCCCGGGAGGGCTCCGGGCCTGTGAATCCGCTCCTCGGTCAGTGCCTCTCGGCCTCCTCTGGTCCCAGAGCCAGGAGGGGGAGGAGAGGTCTCACCTGTTGTCCGGTGCACATAGCCCCAACCCGCCCAAGAGCAGAGCACTGCCCTCCGGGCCCCCACACCCAGCTAGGGTGAGTCAGCAGCTGGGGGCTGGGGGAACTGCCGGGCTTGGCACTCACCCTGCAGAGGGCACACCCTCACTTCCGGGGGAAAGGAAGAGAGGAGATGGTTGGGGCAGGAGTGGGAGGGAACAAGTTTCAGTTCCAAACTGCTCTCACACTTGAGCTGGGCCTCCCAAACAGGTTTGTCCTCACGCAAACTTGCAAGGGCATGGCCGGCCTTCCAGGGTGAAGGGTGACAGGTGAGGGACACCCACCTGGCTTCCCCCACTGGCTCCCCAGCCAAGCACACAGGGGCAGCAGGCCAGGCTGGAGGCTCTGGCCTTCTCCTCTCCTCGCCAGCCTGGCCTTAGAGGTCCTGGTCACTGACATGAACTGTGTGCCAGCACTGTGCCCAGCACTTCCCATGCCTTGGCTCCCGGTCTCCACGCAAGCCAGTAGGGTGGTTCCACTTCAGCAGCCTGTGACTTCAGGAAAGTCACTTCACCTCCGGGCTCTGGTTTCCTCATCTGTAAAATGGCTGAGGAGTTTATTCCTCACAGGCTTGTAGAGAGACTGAATGAGGCAGTCCATAGAAAGCTTTTGGCCCAGGGCCCGCCACAAAGTAAGACTGTAATGTTAGCTGTGGCTAATATCATGGTAGGTCTCATCAGTCCCTTTATGGGTGTGACGTCTGAGGCCCAGAGAGGTTAAGTGACCTGCCCAAGGCCACACAGCTAGAAGATGGTGGGAAAGATCACCCCAGGTCTGACTTTCCATCATGCCAATCTGCCTCAAAGGCAAGCAGGTCTCCTGGGCCTACCTGCGCACCCAGAATCCTGGAAATGCTTCCTGGGACAAGACCCCCTTTTCCTGAGGGTGCATGGAACCAACGTCTCTGCAGAGAACCCTAGCAGGCCATACTCCGATGCCTCTGGTCTCTCAGGTACAGCTTTAAGGAAACTTTGGAAGGGAGCCCAGCTCTGGGTCTGGGCCCATGGGGGCAGAGGGGGCTTAGAAACAGGTCTTGGTCGGCTATGACACCCGGCACTGCCTTCCTAGACAGGTTATGACATGTGGGCAGGAGCACCCCAGGGAGGTTCCCCAGAGGACTGGGACTGAGGGTCCGGCCAGGGGTAAGCTGCCTGTGGCCCAGCTCTCTGGGCTAGAGGGAGGCTGCCCCAGGGACCCTGGCCCCGGTCAGTGCATCTGTCAATGCGCAGACTCTGTCAGATGGCGTGTGTCCGGCAGCAGCACCTCTGAGGGCATCCAGGTGGCAGGTGAGAGCCGTGGAATTTTACAGCCACCTTGACCCCTGTGGAGCGTCACTCCAGGCACGAGGCTATACTTCAGCAGTCTATTTAATTCTGAGGCCTTAAGCCCTCAGGAGACAGTTAAACATAGAACTTGCTACGAGATACGAGATACAGTAAAAATGCATTGGGAGAGAGCAGGGGATGTTTGTGGCTGGGAGTAAAAGCCCTTGGAGAAACCTCAGCCCCACACATCCTTGAGGAGGGAAGGCTAACCCCGCGCATGCGCGCGCGCGCGCGCGCGCGCGCACACACACACACACACACACACACACACACACACTGGGAAGTCACTAAAGCCCTGTCCTGAAGGGTGCTCAGTCCCACTTCACACCAAGGGCATCAGTTCCAGCAGCAGATGGACTCCTTCACCAGAGTGGGGACCAGGGCTGAAAGGGTCGCCCTGGTTGGTGTTTCCTGGAGAGGTCTGCAGACCAGCAGCCTCATGACAGCCCGGGGAGCTTCTTCAAAGTGCTGATTCCCAGGGCCAGCCCCCAGGCTCTAACTCTGCAGGTGTGTGGTGGTGGGCCCAGGGGAGACAGCATTTTTCTTTTCTTTTCGTTTTTTGGTGAGGAAGATTGGCCGTGAGCTAACATCTGTTGCCAATCGTCCTCTTTTTGCTGAGGAAGATTGTCCCTGAGCTGACATCTGTGCCCATCTTCCTCTACTTTGTATGTGCGACGCTGCCACAGCATGGCTTGATGAGCCGTGTGTACTTCCGCACCTGGGATCCGAACCGGTGAGCCCCAAGGCCGCCGAAGCAGAGCGCGCAAACTTAACCACTATGCCACGGGGCCAGCCCTGGAAACAGCATTTTTAACAAGCTTCTGGGCGACTCTGAAGTACCCCCAAGCCTGAGAACCTAGAGAAAAAGGAAAATGGAAGGTGGCGTAGAGAGAGCACAGGCTGCTGAGGCAGAGACCCAGGGGCAGAGACCCGGGTTCGAGTCCCGGCTCTGCCACCTAAGCTGTACAACTTTGGGCAAGAGCCCCTAGCCCCCCAAGCCTTGGTCTCCTTGCCTGCCTGTAAAACAGTGAAACCCCTCACGCAGGGGGCTGTGGCGGGTCAGATGGGAAAGGCATGCAGCAAACCAGCACATGGCCTGGCACTCGGACCACAGCCACTGCGGACGACCGTGGGACGGGAAGGTCCTGCTGCTGGAAGGAGGGAGCAGGTGGAGATGCAGAGCATCATCTACTGGGACGCCAGCTCCTGGGTCTCTCTGCCAGACCCAGGCAGTCTTCTCGTGGGAGAAGGACAAAGAGACTCCAGGGAAAGTATGGGAGGAAGAAACTCAGGAGAGGGAGAAGGAGATGAGGATAGTGAGCCTGAGGAGACCACCAGATGAGGGAGGCCAGGAGCGCCAGCACAGACCCCACTCCCAGCTCGATCCTCCACGCTCCCCCGGCTCCCAAGAACCAGGCTGCCAGGCCGGAAACCCCTCCTGCTGAATCCCATCCTGAGGTCATCTATGCCTCAACAGAGCATCTTTAGACCCAGATCACAGGGGAGCCCCTCCATCTTCTTGCCTGCCCACCCTCAAAGCTAAAACATGAAAGGAGCATTCCAAGGGGACCAAGACCGAGGCTTCCACCAGGAGCTGCCTGGGTAAACCAAGTCAGAACCAGACTCAGGCAAACGCAACAATTCATGTGTGTCCTCCCAACCCCCCAACCCGCCCCTGCCTCAGGCAGACAGCGGAGGTTAAAATCTGGAGGCCGAGACCTCTCAGGCCGGCCCGTGCCATTCCTTCCAGCCGGCCTTGGCCCGGAGGAGGAATTCTGATCCCAGATAAGCAGGACCTGCTGCTTCCTGCTCTCTGCTGGCCAGAGAAGCTTCAGCTCAGGCCTCCTCTCTCCAGGGGACAGAGTTCCTCAAAACCGGCAGGAAACTCCTACAGGGCAGGGCTGGGGTTTGCTGACCTTGTCCCAATAAACAGGAGAGTCGACAAAACCACCCACCAGGCATTGCCCACCCCCCTCTGCTGCTGCAAACGCCCCGACAAACAGCTCCAAACCCCAGAACGGTGAGAACACGGGCGAGGCTCGGGACGTTCTGCTGGGACTCACACACAGACCTGCCCTCGCCTGGGAAAGGTCCAGGGGAACCGCCAAATGAAACAAGAGGAAGCTGCAGACCAGCAGCTCTAACAAGGCCCTGATTTTGGAAAAATAAGCAAATGGTAATAACACGTGTGGAAGGACACACACCTCCCTGTTCCCATCTCTGGAGATGGGGATCACAAGAGATCTTCACTTTCTATATGACACTATGATCAAAACATCATAAAAACACATAATGAACGTTCAACTATGTTGGTAATATAAAAAAAAAAATAATAACTATTTCGTTTAAAATCCAGGCTGGGGATGACCAGGCCTTCCTTAACAAAAAGCCAAGGTGAGAGGTGGACGCAAGGAGGTCTCGGGCACAGAACAAAGGACACTGGCCCAGGATTCCAGGATCTGGTTCAAGTCCCACGTCCCTGCCTTCCTTCCTGATGAGTTGGGACAAGTTGCTTCCTCCCTCTGAGCCTGTTTCCATGTCTGTAAACGAGATAAAGGCCATAGCCTGAGCTTCTTCAAATGACCGAAGGAGATCATTGACAAGGGCGTGTTTTACAAATTATAAAGCAGCCTACACACACCCGCTACGATCAGGAACGCATCTGGGACACACGTTCTGCTAAGTGCCTTCCCTCTATCAACATAGTTAATCTTCAAAATATCCTAAAGGGAGGGAAGGTGCTAATATTATCCCCTTTTTATAGAAGAGGAAACTGAGGCTCAGAGAGGTACAGTGACTGGCGCATGGTCAGTCATCGAGCACATGACAGCTGGGACTCAAACCCAGGTGTGACTACAAAGTTTGGGTCCTAACCAGTGCCCTCTCCTGCCTTTGGGAACCGTTTTCCAAAGTGTAGGCCAAGGAACTCCAGTCCCCAGAGATGTCCACATGATCAAGGAAGCATGGGGAAACACGACTTGCTATCTCCCTCTCAGACTCGTCATGCTCACATCAATGCATTCAAGGCTCTGAGAAGTCCTGCAGCAAGGACAAGTTATTTTTTCCAGAGTTTTCTAACCACTGTGACCAAAGAAACTGGTGTTCCATGGAACACACCTTGGGAAATGTGGTCAGAGACAGCAGTAACAACCCAGGCTGACAATATCCAGGCTGAGGGAGAAAAACAGAGGTTTCCAATGAAAGTTAACATTGGCCTTCGAAGAGTCCAGCAACCACAAACTTCTCAGCTGGCCACAGCGCGGGAGGAAGAAGAATTCTGTCTTCTGCCGCCTCTGCCCTAGATGCCCTGGACCTACAGTGAGAAGAGCAAAGGACTGCAGAGACAGAAGTATTGTCCTTTGCTCCCCAGGTGGGGAAGGTGCCTGACCAGAGGCCATGGCTAGCCTGGAGGGAGAGGGGCCCAGTCCTTACCCCGTGGATGGCTCTGCTATCTGCGCGTTTGCTGTCGGCGCTGAGGCTGGCCCACGTCTGTCTGGCCAGGGTCCTGGCATTCCTCTCGCTCCATGGAAGCTGCCTCCCTACGAGGAAGCAAGAGCTACTGTCAGCAGGGATGTGTGACTATCAGAGTTACCTGCTGTGCTGCCAACATTTTCCAGTACCTGCTCGGTGCCAGGCCCTGGGCTGGGCTCTGGGGTGACAAGAGAGAACAAGACAGTCTACTGAGGAGATGCCAAGTTAACAATTACAACCAGCTCTTGAGAGCCCAGGGCTCTGCTGGGGGGAACCCAGAATCTATGGGAACATGGGAGAAGCACTGGACCCCGACTAGTGGGGTCAGGCTTCCTGGAAAAAACTCTGCCTGAGGTGACTCCTGAGGAAGAGTAGGAGTTGGAGAAACAGAATTCCAGGCAGAAGGAACAGTACATGTTTGCCTGGAGGGGAGAGAATATGACATCTAGAGAATGCTGAGTGGTTCAGCCTGGCTGGATCTAGGGCTGGAGGCAGGAGGTGGTGAGAGATGAGCTGCAGCAGGGTGAGCTGGATCCAGGCAAAGACACAGCCTCAGCCCACACACACCGCTTCGACTCAAACACAACTCCAACCATCATCTATTAGCCAAGAAGCATTCAGTGAGCATCCACTTACATGCCAGGTACTCGGCTCAGAGCTGTCCACACGGGTGAACAAGACAAGTTAGCAGGGTAGGGAGAAAAGTGTGATCAGAGCACAACAGGGGAGGGGGAGCATCTCCACCAGCCAGGAGCTGGGAGTGTGGCCCAGCCATCAGGGAAGGATAAGCAGGAGTCAGCAGGAAGGAGGAAGTGGGGGAAGAGGGGACGCAGGCAGACAGGGACCCGAAGGGCTCTAGGAGGGATTGTGGACCCTTTCAACCATGTATGCCACTGAGCATGTATCACACCTACCCAGTGCTAAGCTGGGAGGAGAGAAGCAGAAGACGGTCTCCAGCTTCACAGGGAGACAGGTCAAGAAGCCAGCAACCCCACTCAGGTGACTGCAATCATAAAGTATCTAGAGCTGCAAAGGCACAGAGGCCACCTGAGCCAGCCTCTACCCCACCCGCCCTCCTCGGCAAGGATGGGGACGCCCACTGACGCGGGGCAGTCCAGTCTCCTGCCTGCGGCAGAGCCAGGACCAGAACTCGGGCCCCGGACTCCCTGTCACGGATTCTTCCAGTTCTTTCTCTTCTAGGAAACCCACACCGACCACCCCTGCCTATTCACCCAGAGCTCATGCCTCCTGCCTCTGGGCTGCCTCTGCAATATTTCTATTATTATGCTGGCCACCCTATCGCTGTTTTCCTGTCTGCCTCTCCTCTCAGACTGCAGCTCAGAGGAGCACAGGGACCGTGTTCTCTTAGCACTATTCCTGGGCCAGGCCAAGCACTTACTAAAGTGAATGAATGAATGAATGAGTCAAGGGATGGAGAGATGGTGTGCTGGGCTCTAGAGCCCCATATCCATCCCACCTGACTCCCCATGAGGTCTTAGACCATTAGCCGGTGCCTCAGTGTCCCCATGTGAAAACCTGGAATCATCTCCGCTCTCAGGAGAGGGAGTCGGGAACCAGGCTGAGACCTTCCCTCCAACTCCTACAGGCGAGGTCCAAGCGGAGCCAGGCAGCAACCCAAGGCCCAGCCACCTCCCCCAGTTCTGCCCTACTGGGGCAATCCTCAGGATCCCCCATTGTCCAGAAAGGCCATTCAAAGTTTGCAGAGGAAACTGCTTCCTAGTGGGTGTGCCCAAGGGATGGAGCACAAAACCATCTGGTTGAATTCCAGGGGGAAGTCACAAACATTTCTTGGACCCTGCTCTGTGCCCCACAGCCCCGGGAAGGCAGAGGGGCATTAGACTCAACCCCAAAGATCTCTAAAACTGGGAAGACAGGGAAGCAGAGGCTGGTCATTCACGCCCCAGCATCTCTCCAAAAGCCAGTCCTTCAGCACGAGTCGTCTGCCCTTGCCTCCCCTTGTGAGCCAGAGGAAGACTTGACCTTCACGAAGGCAGTGCCAGTGTGACTGAGCCACGGGCACTGCCCAGTCCCTCTGAACAAACTCCCACTCCCCCAGCCCCTCCCCTGGAAGTATCACCAACAGCAGACCTCCTCCTCCTCCTGCCTTCAGTCTGTCTGTCTGCCAGTCTGTCTGCTCAGAGGGCAGGAAACAGTTTGGCAGAAGTTAAAGGTACTCCTAATGGAAAAGGTGGGAGAGGCCCTTGGTAGGCTTTCAGCTCCCTCAAATCCCGCCTCCACCATTTAGGCCCCAATTCCCTTTCCCTCACCAAGCACCCGCCCTCCTCATCCTCACATCTCATCCTCACAAGGCTTCCTGGGGTAGAGCAGGGGAAGAGGCGTCAGTGTGGTCACCAAAAAACGGCCCCACCCTTCCAGCCAAGTCCCCATCAGGAGGGGGCTGTGGGACACCCCCCGCCAGCTCTCCTCCTTCCCAAAAAAGGCAGCAGTTGCATCAGCCGAGAACCAGCCCAGTCTTGGTCACTCAGGTCCAGACCAAGGGGAAGAGGCAGTCAAGCAAAGGAGCAGAATCATCGTGAACCCCAATGACCAGCGGCTATGCCCCTTCCGCCTGGGAGCCAACTTTGCTGGATCTCCAGCCCCGACCTCATCAGATCTGGCTCTCAGGCCCATCTAGATGACAGGACACGGGCAGGGGCCGGGGCCTCGGACCCTGGACCGGTCTGCCCAGGAACCCCAGCCCAGACAGGCCCCAACAGCCCAGCCAGGGATCCTGCCCCCAAGTCAGGGCACTGTTCCCGCCGGATCAAGAGGAGGGGTCCAGGAGCCCAGGAGAAGAGAGCAGGGGGAACCTTTGAAAACGAAAAGCTGCCGAAGAGACAGCCCAGAGGTGGAATCTCTAGGAAAGAGAGAGTGTGTGTGGAGGGGTGAGGATCTGGGGGAACCCAGGGGATGACACGGGGACCTGGGGAAGCCAAGACGGAAACTCCCGGTATGTAGAGCGCAGGGAGGCACTGGGGTGCCTGGGAGGGGGCTCGCGCGCCGCGGCACCGCGGAGAGGGTGGGGCCCCGGAGACCCGGGGGATGGGGGAGCCCGGAGGTAGGCCGAATTGAGCTGCCACGGGAGACCCCCCCAACGAGCCCGGCCCGCGGCAGAGCCCGAGCTGCCCAGGGCGCCCGGGGCCGGGCCGCTGGCCGGGGGCGTGTGGGAGTGGGTTTCAAGAGATGACAGCTCGCGCCCCTTTCCCCACCCCAGCCACTCACCTGAGCCCGCCGCGCCCGGCCGGCCAGCCGGCAGCACCCTGCCCCTGCCGCTTCGTCCCGCCGCCGGCCGCTGCGCCCCTCCGGCGCCTCCTTTTGTTTGTACCTCACTGCACCACTCAGCCTCCTCCGCCCCGGAAGTGACGTCACCGCCGGGCGCGAACGCGGCGGCCTGGGCGTCGCCATCTTTTTGAGGGGAGCTCTCTCTGCGCCTACATCCCCTCCGTGTTGGCGCCATGTTGCTTTGGGGCGGAAGTAAGGGAGCCCGGGCTCGGCCCCCTTAAAGGGACAGGGACGGCTGTAACCTTCAGGTCGCGCTTGGGGGCGAGAGGCGAAGCCGGCGAGGCCGAGGTGAGTAGCTGGTGCTTGAGTGTTGCTGCCCCGAGATCGGGTGCCGCGGCCGCAGGGCCTGGTAACCGGTTCCGAGCTCGATTGTGCTAGAGTCCTCGCTGCGTTTGGTGCTGCTGGTGTAGCGGAGTGGCTGCGCCGAAAGGTTGCCCCTGCGGGAGCCGCAGGTGGAAGTAAATTGGGCGCGCTTCTTGCTGACCCGCACTCGGACACTGGGACCCGCCAGGCTGGTCCTCTCTGCACCCACGTCCCCCGCCCCCAACCGCCGGCGATCGCCCCCAACTGGGCGAATTCTGGGCAGAGCCGGGGCTGGAACCCGGGTCCGGACTCCTGCTCTACATCGCTGTGGATCCTGAGTCCTCGCAGTTCCTCGGAGGTGATAGTGACGGCCGCCACGTTAAAAGATAGCCCATACGATGCAATACTGTGCAGCCACTAAAACTGTACTCATATGGGACGACCTCCAAGATACCTTAGATGAAAACAGGTTGGGGCAAAAAGAACAGCGTCGATTGGCGCTACCGTTTGTATAACAGAGGTGTGTGGGGTGTGGATGTCTGCGGTATGTAAGATGCGCAAGAAGTTGTTAACTGGGGTGGCCTCGGACAGGAGAACTGGGGTCCTGGGTACCCGGGCAAGGGGGAAGAATTTACTACCATGTGCACAGATTGGTTATTTTTAAAACAGGATGATGAAGATAATAAGGGCTCCGCCAAGTGTTGAGCCAGTGCCTGGTTTCAGCTCTCCTGCTGGGAGGTCCTATTTTTCCCTGTTATTGGAGGAGGAAAGTGGAGGAGGAAAGAGACTCAGAGATTAGGGACCTGAGTAATATCTCATAGCCAGGAAGTGGAGAAGCTGGAATTTGAGCCCTGGAGGACTTTCCACTAATGCCCACATTCTCGCTTATCCCACTCTCCACTGAGAAGCTTTTTAGTTATCAACCCCGACGGTACCAAGCTTGGGGTCTGGCACTCAGCAGACCTCCAGTAACTGTTTAACCACTGTTTACTGGCTGATCAAGTGGAACAGACAGGAGATGACCTGAAGTTTAGAATGAAGAGAGGCAAACATGGAGGCCAGAGTCCAGCCTGGAGTCCAGGGCCTGCCCCTTACCAGCCTTGAGACTGTGGACCTGGCACCGCCCTCCCTGAGCCTCCGGGTCCCCACCTGTAAAACTAACAACCACGACCACGATAGCTGACCCTGGGGCTCCCACCTGCCCTACTTTGTGTTTTACGTGCAGATGAGCCCAGTTTTACAGATGAGTAAGTGAAGCACAGAGAAGTTGAGAAAGTTGCCCAAAGGGGGTCCCCACAAGGCCTCACTCCCCTGCTTCCTGGCAGAGTGTTGGGTTCCTCGGTCTCTCCCTCGGTCTGCTAGGATCATTGGCACTGATGCTTTGGGGTACCTGCGGTGTGCTAGTTGAGCTGCCAGAGAAAACAGTTGAGCTGTCCTGGTGGAAACAGGACAGACACACAGTTCCTGTCCTTGGAGTCTAGTGAGGACCACAGACAATCCAGCACTTAGCATCTGGGCTGGACAATTAGCATCTGGGATGGGCGCTGCGGTGGGCAGAAGCTCAGGCCTTGGGAGCACAGAGGAGGGAGCACCTAGCTCAGCCCAGTTGGAGTCAGAGAGGGCTTCTCAAAGGAGGTGACTTTTAATCTGTGACTAAAAGATGCATAGGATGTCTGGAAGGCGAAGTGGTGAGGCTGGAGACTCAAGCAGAGACCCGCTCAGACCTGAAGGTCACTGACATGATCAGAGACTATGCAGGTTAGAAACATTCATTCTGGCTTCTGTGTGAATCTCTCTTTCCTCCTGGAGAATGCCTCCACATGACAGCATCTGTGGCTTCCCACCCTCCACCCCACACTTAACCTCACGCATCTCCAAAGGGTAGTACTCCCTAATTTTATAATCCAGGTGGGGGCAACAAAGGAACACAGGAGAGTTAATAGCAGTGAGGAAGTCCTTCACACTGGTACCCCCCCCCCCATTTATTTGGGCCCCCAGAGTGGCAACCAACTTGCTGACACGGAAACTCTGCCCATGTGAATAAAAGTGTCAGCCCAGCAGGCTCCTCCTGTCTTCCTGGCTGTTTACCCTCACTTGACTTCTCAGGTGGCCAGTGTGCTGGACACCTGGCTGCACATGACTGCCCCCTTCTGTAGCCAGCAGGCCAAAGTCCCCCCAGCTGCAGCGGGAGACGAATCAGCATGTCTCCTGCCCTAACAGTCACGCGGCCACATCCCACTCCCGGATGGCACTGTCAGCTCCCTGAAAAGTTTCCAGGACGTTCATCCCACTTTCTCATTCCTGGACAGTGGGATGAGCTTTGGATTCACAGCTGGGGTTCCTCTGTGCTTTGCTAGGACTCTGACTTTGGGTAAGTCATTTCTCCGCTCTGAGCCTCAGCTTCTCCATCTGTAAAACAGAAGTGAATCTCTCTAGTTTTCCTGCCAGGCACTAAATATATATATATATATATATTTTTTTTTTTTCCCCCACATGTGTAAAACTGCCCTAAAGAGTGAGATTTTGATTTTGGATCTGGATCCTTTGCCAGGAGGAATAAGGAATGGGCTACCTACTGTTTGTCTCACTCAGGGTCCCCCACCAACCCTTCTGGCCCGGGAACATGCATTCTGGGCTCTAGAAGTCATTTCTCTCTTCTGCCAGCTCCAAAGCCCAGGGGAACCGTGTATAAGTCAGGGGCTTGTTAGATCTCCCCAGATAGGCTGTCACCTCCCTCGGAGCAGAACCGTTGACTCGACAAGTTTTCACCAAACACTGTTGTATAGGGACTCTGTGTTTTTATTGTTTTTTGTGTGTGTGAGGAGGACCACCCCTGAGCTAACATCCAATGCCAATCCTCCTCTTTTTTGCTGAGGAAGACTGGCCCTGGGCTAACATCTGTGCCCATCTTCCTCCACTTTATATGGGACACCACCACACTTAACAAGCGGTGCGTCGGTGCGCGCCCAGGATCCGAACCAGCGAACCCCAGGCCGCTGCAGCGGAGCATGCGCACTTAACCGCTTGCGCCACCAGGCGGGCCCTGGGGCTCTATGTTTTTAGAGCAAAAAAAAAAAAAAAAAAAAATCAGAATTCGTTATCTGACACGGGACTTTGTTGTCGTGCTTGGTTACCTAATGTTTTTTTTTTTTTTTTTTTAAAGATTTTATTTATTTTATTTTTTCCCCCCAAAGCCCCAGTAGATAGTTGTATGTCATAGCTGCACATCTTTCTAGTTGCTGTATGTGGGACTCGGCCTCAGGATGGACGGAGAAGTGGTGCCTCAATGCGCACCCGGGATCCGAACCCGGGCCACCAGCATCGCAGCGCGCGCACTTAACCACCAAGCCACAGGGCCGGCCATGGTTACCTAATGTTTATGGAAAGCCTTACGGGTTGAAATGTTCATAGCTTCTTGCCATTGATGGGTTACTGAGGGCCAGGACCTGTGCTAACTGCTCCTCTGGGTGATTGTGTTATTATTCTCCCCACTGTGTAGATGAGGATGCTGAGCCTGGAGAGGCTGTGGTACGGCATGACCAAGGTCCCGTAGCTGGTTGAGGGTGGTGCTGGGACCGTTCTCTCCAAGTCTGAGTCCAAGCCTTCATCTTCTGTGGTTGTTCCTGTAACAGACTGGTCTTGCCTGGATGTGGTACCCCCTCCCCAGCCCCTTCTCCAGAGGTGGTGTGGTTTGTGTTGTCTCAGTAACTGGGGGGGCTCCTGACATCTCAAACCCAGGGATGCTGAACATCCTTCAAGGCACCGGACAGATCTGCCCAATAAAGAACTGGCTCACTCCAAATTCCAAGTGTGTCCCTATTGAGAAACACTAAAACCAAAAGTCTTTATTGCGTAGAATTGACTTAGGTGACGTGGGGCCAGCCTGCGAAGGCGAGGGCACCTTGCCTGCCCTTGCAAGCTGCCATGCGGGATGAAGCTGGGCACGGCTCCTGTCCCCAAGGGGCCGGGGGTGCCCTGCAGGCAGAGGAGTGGATAGAGGCAGCAGTGCCCACCTCCTGAGACAGGGATTTGGGAGGAAAGAGTTTGGACTTTGGAAACAGACAAACCAGGGTTGAATGCAGCTCAGGCTCTCTCGGCTGAGTGAGATTTGTTTGTTCTCCTCTTGATCTAAGTAGGATTGATCATGCCTTCCTAGTGATCGTGGAAGATTAGAGAAGATTAGAGGGGAAAGTTAGAGAATTTACCACAAGGGTCAGGCCCATAGTAGCTGCTCTCTGAGTTCAGAGGAGGGCCCGAGTGGGCACGGAAGGCTTCAGAGAGGAGGCGGGGCTGGGGCTAGGCCCTGCCAGGGGATCGGATTGGGGGCCATGTCAGGCAGGGGCACAGCTTGAGCAAAGGTGGGCGACATCTGTTCAAAGCAAAGGATTTGTCCATTCAAAAGAGGAGAGCACATGAAAACTGCAGAGTCTGCGTTCAGACCAGGCTGAGGAGGGTCTGGACTTGATCCGGTGTCAACCCAGGCCCCTTGGCCAGGCCGGTCCAAAAGGAGGTGGAGCTGATGTCAGCCACCAGAGTATTGGTGCCCGAGGCATCTCCCTAGGGGTCGGCCACCTGCTGGTCACTGATCGTGGTGCCAAGAAAGTGGCCAGTAGCTGCCCAGGCTGAAGGAGGGTGTGTTAGGGGAGGACATGGACCACTGGGCCCTGGCCTCTGGCCTGGCAGCAAGGAAGCCTGAGATCTTAGACACCTGGGACGCTGCACTGGAACGTGTCCTAAGGGCCATCTGGTGCATTCTGTCCCCCCTCCAGGCGGGGTTGGCCTCCGGAGTGCCGCCACAGCGCCTGAGCTGACTACATGGCGGCCTTTCTTCTCAGACTAATTTTTAAGTAATAACAATAGTAATGATGACATTTGCTGGACGCTGACTCTTTGCCGGGCACCATGCTGAGTGATTTTCTTGTATTGTCTCCTTGACTTCTCCCTACGACCCGATGAGGCAGGTGCTATCATTATTCTCACTTCAG